GTAATATCGATTGGAACTATCGATCGATGGATGAAGAACTACTGATGGTTGTGTTTAAAACTAACCGACAAGCCGTTAAGTAGTCATGCTGTTGTGAGCAAACGAGGCATGTTGGCACTTGAGTCGACGTCTCAACACAAGCTGGACAGAACCATTCTCGTGACGGTGGTGACTGAAAGGACTCATTGAATCTCCGTCGGAAACAGTCGTAGAAAGGGATATTTCCAGTTGTATGGTCCGGAAACTCAGCCCACATTGGGGCTAGTTCAGCTCTTGGGGCAAGGAAAGGTTATTAAAATGGCCCAGCAGTGCCCGGGAGATTAAAGCTCAGATTTGGAGATGTAGGGGCGAATAATAATGTGCTGTACTTTAGAAGACCAAATTCTTCTAGTTACCGGTGTTGTCATTTCTCAGTAAATTAGCTGGATGAAAATGCAAAAATCGGTGCAAACTGTACGATGGAGATCTCCTATTACGGCACGTACAAGCCATGCTTTCAATTCTCAGTCAATATCCCGAAATGGTTGAAAGGCTTCAATGTTCGAGTCATATGAATTCCCATTCAAAACCTATTAATGGAAAAATCCGGTGAGATTCGACCATAACCGAACTACTCAATAGCATACAGACCCAGTATATTGTGGAGTATAGGATTTTAGCGAAGCGACCACCTCTTAACCACATCCTGAAGTAAATCAATTGGTAATTAAATACCTTGCAGCATTCCTGATGATAGCTGAGACGACACGCCGTGCATCGAAGTGCTGATGGTTGATCACAGCGTTTACGACAGATTTGACATAGTCGCAGTGTCGGTGCCAATTCCCAGGCTACGGATGAGCTGAGCATCTGAAACGCACGAAATGATTGATTGATTTCTTATATCTTCAGTACTGGAATTTCAGGGGAAAAAATCCAAAAATTAATTCAAGTCAATTAAAAACTGGATTTAAAAAAACCAGATTTATTTGGAATTAAAAAAACCAAAATGGAAAAACCAAATCTTCCGATTATGGTTCCAACACTATATATCCACAAGTACAGTACCTGTATAGCCAGCGACAGCTTGGCACATGTCTCTGCTGATTCAACGTATGCTCGCCATCGTTCGATCATCTGACTGTTTTCCAATTCATCTCGCTCCGAGCCTTCCTCATCTTTTTCTGCATCATCACGATCATCCTCTTCATCTTCTTTTCCCAATTGTTCGCCGTTCATTACCATCGAGTGAGCCAGGGACTTCTTGTCTCTGGAACAAAGAAATATTAACCTTTCCAGGAAAATTTCTCTCCTCTTCGCTCCTATCATTTGGGATATCATGGGATTTCTCTGGCTCAAGCCATTAATTTGAAAATTGCCGAGCTGGATGAATGGGTGTAAGTACAAATTAGCATTGTTGACGCCCAGATCGTGACTAATCTTTCCGTTCAGAATCAGGGCAGCTCAGTTAATGATTAGGAAGTTAGTTCTGATTAAGACTAATCCGCCATGAACATATGGGCGTAGCGTAACCTATAAAAGCTGTTGTCCCATCTCTCTCTACCCCATCTCGCCAATGAAGCTCTGGCAAAAACGAGTTTGAGGCACCATGCCCGATCCGCTCACAGCTTGTGTCGATTCCTTGGTAGTTGTCTTGCCAATCGGTATGCCACTCGGGTCCCCAACAGAACAAGACCCATGCAGCGCATGCCCCCTTGTTACGCAAGTTTGAGTTCCGAATGGGGCAGCCTAACTTCTCACCTCTTCTGTGCTCATTTCTAAAAAGGAAGGAAAACCAGGCTCAGTTATTGGGTGTGCTTTTACAGGTCAACTAGACTTCCCATAACCATCGCAAATTTGGGCAAAAGTTGGAAGCATGGCGAAGCCATGAGAGTAGACTTTTTCAAGATATCTGTACTTCCTCACAGTACCTGTGTAACGCATATTCTTTGATACACTACCTATCAGTTGAATTACCACTCACCCGCAGAAAAAACTCGGCCGAAGAAAACTACGGTTAATTCGCCGTTCACAGCAGAATATCTTCTCCTTCAACTCATCAATGGACCCACTGCAGCCGGACTTCATAAAACTATTAGCGGACCCTAAAATTGATGGATTTTTTCGAGTAATCCGAAAGGAATAAAAGAGGAGCTAAGAAATATTGAAGAGGAACCGACCTTTTATGGCAACTTTGGCGCTGGTTATTTTAGAATTCAGCTCGTTTAACTGGCGATGAACAGCTTCGTGATTCAGCTCGGTCACTTCTTTCCAGCTGATCTCTTTACCAACTTTGTCCAACTCAACTGTAAACAGAAGCTGAATTCTATATTGACAAAGGAACATCAAGGGGTCAACGTGGGGACGAGAGGTAAAAGTCATTGGAGGATCTCTAGCGATGAGTTGGAGGAATTCACCAACGAGGATATTGCCCCGGAGATACTCCCCACCCATACTGTCCATGGAAACTACCGTTATGCTCAAGCTGACGCTCACCTTTGCCCAACTTCACGTCCTTCAGAAACCACGACTTGCACAGTAGACGATGTAAGATCCGTTCACGAATGCCTCGACCATGGAGACTGCTTCTGACTGCTTCGAGATTTTCCCTGAAAATTTTTAAAATAATTTCAAAAATTGTTTGTCATGCAACCGTATCTGAGATTAGGCCCTTATACGAAAGGGAAGTAAAAGAGAAATATCTCCTGTTTCACACAAGCTACATATTTGCTAGGTTAGTTGTGTATCTATTTACATTTAGGCTGAGTGTTATAGGTGTGCGAAGATCTTCATAAACTTTCCTAAAGGCTATGAATAGGCGCATGAACTAATGCTAATCCCGACGACAGCGCAATCCTTGGTAGACATTGCCGTGACATACACCGCTAATCAATAATTGCAGAAGGAGCTGCTTACCTCGTGTCCACTGACCACCACCCACGCTTGTATGCATTGTCCATGCGTCGGAATCGTTTTCGTTTCCGCCGCTCTGTATGTGAACGACCGGTCACAACGTCATCGACGAGATCTTCGACACATGCCAATACATCAGGATGGAGGAAGGAGGGAGCTGAAATACGTTTGGGTGAAGCCAGAGTGGGGAACTGCAAACTGCAAGTTCACGAAGTGACTGAAAATTTTCAGGAAGTGACCGAAAATTCTCATAGAAGGTAATTTACTTGTTGGCTCCATCTACTAGCATTCAGAAACACATTCTCTTTTCAGTAATTCCGTATATAGCTTATACCCGAATTGGTTCCGGCCTAAACCGAACTAGTCTTCCATTCCTCCAGGGTTGCTCACTTGGTGCCGGACTCGTCCGGCAGGATGAAAATACTGACCTGTTCAACAGCTGGCCACCCCTGTCACTGTATAGGCCCATGCAATCATTACTACGATTTTAACTGGGAGTACACCGCGTGGGGCATCCCACAAACAGATAAGCCATTCCCAAAAAACATCTGGGCCCTATAGTCTGTTGCCCTGGACTCAAGGGTCCGGCATATCGCGATGTACGAGTATCTGGCGCAGAATAGGCCGAATTCCTACCGAGGCTCTGGCAACAAAATAAGAGATATTCATAAAGTGACCAGTTACCTGTTAGATCTGATGGATCCTTGGAGCATGTTTCCTCGGTGTTACATGCGGGATTCCATGGCCCAGAACTCTCTACAGATTCGACCAATATCGATGGGACGCCAGGTATTTGCCAATATTGCCTGTAAAACTTCCAATTACCGATAAGCCGATATTGATTTCAAGGCATTGTCATTTACCTGTGGTATCGATCGCATCCTAGAGGAAAACTTCGAACTTTTGTCGACAACTCGTTGATCTTTTCTTTGAGATGTTCTGCCTCAGAGTTCAGTGAGTCAATAAGAACTTCGAGCTGATCCGGCGACATATTCTCTTCCTGAACAAGTAACGAATTGCAGACTAAACGGACTGATGGAAATTTTCTCACCAAAAGATGATTTTCTTAACAATCGAGAGAAAAATAGTTTAAATTTACCAATAATAGGAATAGAAAAAAAAATAAATCGGAAATTCTGTTTTGCGTTTAGAAATGAAAAGGCCGGAAGTGATGCAGTGTCAAGTGACGTCCTTTCATATATGCAGGCCACGGTTCAAACCCTGGATCGATCTCCGCCTAGGCCATCCGAACCTTCCATTCCTCCGGGGTNTATAGGCGCATACGCATTCAATAAGACACTACGATTCTGAATGGAAGTCGAATGAGGGGCGCATGCCTCAGCCGGGATTGATCAACGCACCAAGACTTTATCCTTTCTTATGGAAAAGTGCTCAAAAATATAGAAAAGGGAAGCAGTAATACCGGAGTAATTGCTTTTCTGATCTTTCACGAAGCCGTAAAAAATTATAAAATAATAAAAAGGAGTAGGGAACAAATTACTTGATGTATTCCACGTCAAACTTCCAAGCCTCACCTCCTCAGTGAGAATTTCGCATTGACCGAGTCCTGGCGTCAGTCGCCGGTCTCGGGTGGTAGGGATTGGCGTGGCTGGTCGACTGCCGTCAGATGCTTCGGAATTCCGCGAAGGAGGTCGGTCGTCGTGAGCTTGGCCGTCTGTGTCCGAAGAGTGCAGTCCTCGCTCAGCTTTCTGTTTCTTCCGTTGAACTACTCGAAGTGCTCGAGCCTGGAAGTGTACAGCTTCGGGTAAAGGGCGATAAACGAAAGAAGCAGGTGGGTGATACCCGGAAAAGCAGGAACATCTACTTGGGAGATGCCGTAACACCTACATACGACCGTGCTCCTTTGAGTAAATGANGAGCCCAAGACACTACCAAAAAACGAGCTTTGTTTTCCGGAAGTAAGATAAAAAATCACCTTTCCATCCCGCATCCACCGATCGCCTTTCAATCGCCCAACCTCTTCAAGATTACGGTCGATTTCTTTGACGATGTTCGGACAACAGAGAAGTTCATTACAGAGGAACGCCAAGATCGATGCTTTCTCCTCCCCACTGAGCTCAGCGAAACTTCGATCGACCAGTAAGTGGGAGAGCTGGAAAATCCTGTTTGATTCCATGAGATTAAAAATATGAAAAATGATTTTGCAACCTTTTTGCCATGTGAATCTCTGGACGAAAGGAACAGCCGCATAAGTTCTGAGTAGTTCTGTTCGGTTACACCCAGTTCTGACACGGTTTGGCCCAGCCGTGTTCTGCCTCTGAAATATCTTGGTTATTTTGGCATCCTGGAAGGCAAACAACAAACAAGAATGTACTGGTGGTAGTAATGATCCCCAAACATATTTATGCTATTTTCCTTTTTCTTTTCCCTCTTACTTTGTCCTTTTCTTTTCGCAAATATTGGAAAAATCTACCTCATAGGTGGTTCTTCTTATTGGAAATCAAGGACCGAAATCTAGCGAATAGCTATCGGGAACCAAATAGTTTTGGTAAGTCGCTCGAAATCGAAAAAGACTGGAAAATCGAAATTCAAAAGAAAACTTACCGTTTCCCAGTTGGCAATCCAGGATACTCGAGTGCCAACCGGAAGAGAGATCGAGTAAGTTGAAGAACTCTTTCGAAGTGTT